AGTTTTTATTAAAAAACAAACAGCCTGGGTGTAGTGGCTCATGCCTATAATCATAGCAGTTTGAGAGCCCTAGGTAGGAGGATTGCTTGAGGCCAGGAGTTTAAGACCAGCCTAAGCAAAATAGCAAGATCCCACCTTTATAAAAAACAGAAAAATTAGTTGGTCGTGGTGGCATTTGCCTGTAGTCCCAGCTACTTGGGAGGCTGAGGCAGGAGAATCACTTGAGCCCAGGAGTTGGTGGCTGATGTGAGCTATGATGACGCCACTGCATTCTAGGCCAGGTGACAGAGCAAGATCCTGTCTCTAAACAAACAAGCAAACAAACAAACACCTTGTTGGATTATAACTAGGATTGCATTGAACCTATAGACCAATTTGGAGAGATCTGGCATCTTAATAACATCTTCTATTCTCATTTATTTATATCTTCTTTAATTTCTCTCCCCAATGTTTCGTAAAGTGGTCAATGTAAAGACTTTGCATGTATTTTATTTATTCCTAAGTATTTTATGATTTGTGACACTTTTTTTTTTTTGAGACAGAGTCTCAAAGGTAAGGAGAGGTAAGGAGTGTCACACAGGGATGCCAAGGTACCCCCAGCCCGCTATTTATTACCATTACATCATACCCTTTTGTCCTCCAATCATACTTCTGCATGACTGTCCGTAAAGATACATAGATCTTGCTTTTCTTTGGGTCTTCATTTCTGAAAGCCCCCATGTCACATAAAACTTACATTAAATACATTTCTTTGCTTTTCTCTTACTAATCTGTCTGTTGTTATAGGGGTCTCAGCCATGAACCTTGCAGCAGGTTAGGAAAAGATATAACTTTTTCTTCCCTACGACAGTCTGAGATTGCAGAGTTATGGGTATTGCATGAAAAGTGTCACACTCTCATTGCCTCACTCTGCAAGAGACGGAAGTGAGGACATCGCAACACAGGCCAACCTCGCTCCTCCCGCCATGCTCCATCCTTGAGGGAATGACGTGTAGGATGCCCATGGACACCAAGACCACCAGTGGGCTCCTGGTGCCCAGACACCACTGTTTCTACCTGCCCCTTTGTCAAGTGACTACAGGATTTTTGAGCACAAAGCATGTACCACAATAAAATTCAGGATGGGCTAAGGCATGGATTTCTTCTGTGATGTTGGAGAAGGACAATTTGGAACGGGAGATGGGAAAGGAGAAGTAGCTTGACATGGACACTCGCAGGTGCATTTTCAGGCGGGTAATTTTAGGAAAGCATGCACACACATCGAACCTGGAAACAAATGGCCTTAAAACTGTCTGTGCCCAGGTACCCCTTAGAAAACCTCGTGCCTGCAGACCTTACACTGTTAAATATAATCATGTCTTAACATTTCTCAGGATGAGGAGTTTTTTCTCATTTGGCTTAACCAAAAATAATTTAACTTTAAAAAAGAGAAGCATCTCACTTGACATTCTGTTGTGAAAAAGAAAAAAAAAAAAAGAAAAAGAGAAGCATCTGCAAGTTTTACTTTTTTTAAAGACAATTTATTGTTAAATGAAGAAGTCACAAAGCAAAATGGACAGATGTCAAAGATAAACTTAAGACACAGTTTTTGTCAAATACTATTGTGGATTTCCTAAGGTTAGGAATAGGAAGAGTGTCAAATGAAAAGGCACTTATTCAAATTAAGTCTTTTTAAAAGGTTTGTGATTTTAAAGGAAAACGACTTTTCACTAAAAATACAAATCATCCTTATTACATGAAAGCCATAATTTAAAGACTAAGGAAAAAGCTTTTTAATTAACAAATAAACTGTATCTCCTGATACATTTAGGAATGTTTGTTTTAATCAGTGAGTTTTAAAAATCGCCGCTTCCACCTTGCAAACCAACATGAATCCACTATCAGCTGACACCATCTGAGCCGCACTGAAGTGTTCATTCCTCTTCACATGCTTTCTTTTCTGCAACTTGTCAGCAAAGCAGGTTTGGAGAAAAAGATTAGAAAGAACTACAATTGGTTCCCTAGTGAATAATTTAACAAAATACAACCTGCTTTTCCATTTGCATTACACATTCACAATTGCTCACTTCTACTTACTTTACTGACGTATTTCAGATTCTCTCCACACCTAGAAAGACTTGCCTGAACTGAACACAATCCCCTTAACACAAAAAAATCTCCTAAAGATATCTCAAAACCCTGCTGTGTTCAAAGGCCACGTTCTGGCCTCTGCCCACAACGCCGTCCTGAGCTCCTCCAAATGCCTCCACTGGGGCAGAGAAAAGCCTTGGGAATTCTCCTAGCAATTTAAAAATTATGTTTACCACTTAAATGACAAAATCAGATAGAACAATCCATTTGTATCAATAAATGCTGCATAATTTGCTCTTCCAAATGCAGGAAGCATTTGTGGCTCCGTATATGACCGCGGAGACTAACGAGTCCCATAGCGACCCCCTCGTTGGGTCCCTGCCCAGCTTCACCCTGGCAAACTGTGGACCACGAAGCAGACTGCAGGCTCCGTCCACGGGGTGCGTCTGTCGCATGTGTCCCACCAGTTAGGAGCGGGACAGACTAAACGTTGTTGTCCGAAGTGGACACTGACAACGTGGCTCTAGAGGCCTCCAAGCCTATAATTGAGGGCTATTACCATCGCACCTGCTTCCATGCTAACAACAGTCCCTGCTGTGGCTCCAGGGCACCCATGGAGCTATCAATTCTGCTTTGGGGACAGATGGAGGCCACCTACAGATACAGCGGGAGCTTACAATGCTCTGTAACCCTCGAGCACTTGGCATAATTTGGATGTATTCAAAGGAAATATCTACGGCTTGTTCTTTCCAATATCAGAAGAAAAAAACCCCATCTGCCACTTTCTTTACTCAGACACTGCAGGGACTGGCAGGAGGTTCTGGGAAGAAAGGGCTGGGCAGGGCGGGTGGTGGGAGGCGGGCTGAGGGGGCCGCTCGCCCACTGTTGCTGGGCGGTTCAGCTGAATTCACACGGTTTCTTTGGGGGCACATCTTCAGTTCACACCCAACGCCACGACTGTCACTTCCACCCACACCATGGTATGAAAGAAGTGTGTGCCATCACCACAGCGGCCCGGTTTTGGAGTCTGAACTGTGACATCATTCCCTGCTCTGAATCCACCTTAGCTTAACTGGGGGAGGGGCGCAGACTTCCCCGCTTTTTGGATCGGCCGTGAGGCTCTGACACCATCGAAATCCCAGGAGTGAGTCAATCCGGGCCCCCCTCCTGATGAACCAGATCACCAGAAACATCTCCAGCTGCCAGGTCTCCATCAGGGCGACTGCTTCCCGTCCCGAGTGGAAACCCCCTCACGGAGGCCCAAAAAGTGTTTTTCCAAAGCATTCTTTTAAAATGCCGTTTCTCTCAACAGGGCCCTCCGCTACATTTTCCCTTATGCAAAGAAGGGAAAGTATTTAGAAATCCCAAAATGCTTACCAGGAGAGTTGTACACGCCTGTGCTTGGAACCCCGACCAATGCCACAGCGCCAACGCTCGGCCACCCACTGACCTGACGTTTCTGAAGCACTCGAGAACAGGGTGGGCCTTTTTTTTTTTTTTATTTTTTAAGGCATCATATATTGTGGTTTGGGGTTTTTTGATATCATGAAAAAGATTTAGAGAATTTCAACAGATTTGGTTACCAGGAAATACAAATGGAAATGGAAATAGAAGAGGGAATGGAACTCAGAACTCCAGACTGAACCCAGATGGGTGTCACGACTGACTGCGTTAGCACTGCTTTTGTGGCAGCGTAGACACCTGTGGCTGAAATCTCTTAAAACTCACTTTTTCCATCCCGGGGACTTTTCCCTTACTCTTCCTCAGACAAACCGGCCCAGGGAAGAAGAGCTCTCCTCCCCTCCGTATGTCACCCTGTTGCCGCTTCCTCTGTCCTAGTGGTCTTTGTATTTTCTCATCAAATTGAGACTGGGGAAACTATGCAGCAGCAAACCAGGAAATTGCCTCCTTTTAAAAACAACTTGAAAATTCAAAAACCAAAACCAAATATCTCAATAATTATGAAATTCAGTGATTTTTTTTTTCTCCTTCCCCAGGCTGGGCTTAGAGGTATCTCTAGGTTGGACGCCTCAGGGGCTGGAACGACATGCAAGGGCAGTGTCGCCCAGCCTGACCAGGGCGGCCTGGGGCCAGGGCAGCGGAAGAGCTGGTCCAAGCCCAGCCCAGCCTGCTCGAGTCAGCATTCGTCTGAGAGGTCATCGGTGCCCAGGAACTCCGAGGCTTCGAGTTCCACGCTGGACAGAAACCTCCTCAGCGTCTTGCGGCAGTTGTAATCCAGGGTGGTGGTGTAGACGGTCTTGGGATACTTCGGGTAGACGATGGTGGTGCTGAGGAAGCGTGTGGGCTTGTGGCGTGGCTCGAAGCGCACCTCAGCCTTATAGTTGCGCCACGTGCAGTTGGGGATGCAGGTGACTGTCTGGCTGCAGGAGGCCACGGCCAGGCCCAGTGGCAGCTGCACGTCATCGATGAAGTGCCGCTCTGAGTCGTACTTGACCAGGGAGGTATACCTGGGCGGGAGACAGAAGGCAGCCTGAAGCCATGACTCTGAGCTAGGGGGACGGGGGTCCCCAGTGTGACCTTGACTCTCTTAGGGGACGCCAATGTTGCAACGTGGCTACTCCAGGAAGAAGCGTAGAATTTATGAAGCACTCACTGTGTGCCAGGTACTGTTCTAAGCACTTTGCTTACAAGATCTAATTTAATGCTCCCCACAACCCTGAGAGAGGAAACCGAGGTGCAGAGATTTCGGTCCCAGAGCCACTGAGACGGGAGCTGGCATCTAAACGCAGGGGAGCAGGATTGCAAAGTCCGCCCTGCACACACTGGTGGCCACTGCGGGCAGCAGCCCCCGGATGCTGTGAGACCTCAGTCAAGGTACTGAACTTCTCCAAGCCTCAGTTTCCTCGTTCTGTAAAGGGTTCCCAATAATAAATGAGCAGAGTGTTAACACATAGCAAGTGCTGTCATGGTAGTTATGATATAACGAGGCCGATTCTACTGCTCCACTAGGGGTGGGCAGTTTCTCTGACCTCTCAAGTGACCAATTGGCTCTCTCATGAGAGGATGAAGGAACCCAGAAATCCTGAATGCTGGTTCTGAAAGCCTGGCTATACCACATACTTGTACTTGGTCCACCTTGACCTTTGGTTTGGAGACATCTCAAACCCAGGGACTCAGGGATCTGACCTTATCAATGAAAGCCAAATACAAGCCAGGCGTGGCGGCTCACGCCTGTAATCCTAGCACTCTGGGAGGCTGAGGCAGGAGGATCGCTTGAGCTGAGGAGCTCAAGAGTTCGAGACCAGCCTGAGCAAGAGTGAGACCCTAGCTCTACTGAAAATAGAATTAGCTGGGTGTGGTGGCACGCGCCGGTATGTAGTCCCAGCTATTCCAGAGGCTGAGGCAGGAGGATTGCTTGAGCCTAGGAGTGTGAGGTTGCAGCGAGCTATGATGATGCCACTGCACTCTAGCCTGGGCAACAGAGCAAAACTCTGTCTCAAAAAATAAATAAATAAAAGAAAAGAAAGCCAATTACAGTCTTGATTTCCACAAAATAAATTAACAACCACATTCCTCAACTGCTTTATATTTTTTAATTCCTTTTTTGGTAATTTGAGAATTTTTTTCATGGAAGCAAAGCATTAATGCATTTTACTACATTACTATTATGGCTTCACAGATACTAAAATATGTACGTGCAACATATTAGATACATCTAACAGCACTGTCCACCCCCCCATCCCCTACCCACTGGGTAAGAATCAGCACTCTTTTCTATTCTCCTTGGGCAAGCAGAGAGGCTGCTGGAAGCTAACGTCATGAAGTCATGTCCCCATTTTGTTCAAAATACAAGCTCCACGGGAATAAAAGGCTAAACTGCTCACCTCCAAACTGATGAACCTCTCTTTGTTCCACGTCAAAGGGCCCTTTGTGTAAATGCAACTGAAACTCCAGCTATGAAACCACCGGTTACCAAAAGTAAAACTCCTTTCTCTAAAAAGCCCTATCTTGAACTGAGCCTCTCAGTGCATCTTTGCCCCCAGGTAATCCTGGATGGGGTAAGTCTCAGAGGGAGGCTGGGACTAGTCCGGTGAAAAGAGAACATGAGACAAGGTTAAAGCACCTTGAAGTGGGGGTTGGGGGTGGAGGGGAGCAGCTTCTGGAAAGAGGAATTAATATCTAACAAAATTTTAAACATCTGATGGTCATGATATACGAAGTGCAAAAAACAAGCTGTAGAACTTTATGTATCACATCTCATTTTTATGTTAAAAAGCATGTCTGCATATTTCATTGGTTAGAATGCAGAAAATAAAAGCCAAAAGAGTACCCACCAAACTATCAACAGTCTTTGGCATACTTTTGTCATTAACTAATTTTTAAAATAACAAGCATTACTGTCTGGAATAAACAATGAAAGTTACAAAGAATCAAATCAGGGCCTGCTATATTTACCTTACTTCCTTTGGTGGTAAGGGGTCAAACTCCACTCCTTCGCCAAAGGACAGGGGGCACAGCCTGGGTGCACAGCTGGGGACCGGGGCATTGGGGAGAGATGCTGGGTTCTTCAAGGACAGAGAAGAGCGAAGTTAGAGCTGCCACAGGCCATTCGACACATCCCCCACAGAAGGTCCTGGCTTCGAGCCCCCAGCTGATGGGCCCCACTGTGAACTGTGAGCCTCATGCTGGGCATGCCAGAGAAGGGCTGACCCACAGCATGGGCGCAGTGGAGCCAAGAAGTCTGGGTTCGGGTCCCAGGTCCATCACAACTGTGCTGTGTGCCCTCAGAGGGATCATATCACATCCCCTGTGACCTTATCTGCACACCAAGAGGGGTGCCTCCTTCCGTAGCTGAGGCTGTGTGAAAGGTGGAAAAGAGGAAATGAACTTGAGCTCAGCACCACGATGGTGGCCAGACCCAGGGGCTGCCACACCATCCTATAGCCACGCGGTGAAAAAACCTCATGGACTGGGGCTTAGGGCTTAGCTTCTTGTAAGAACCCTCAGTGACATGGCACCCCCTGTCATTGTCTCAGGAACACTCTAGAAGAGGCCAAAACAAAAAAATGTTACTAGGGATTTTTTAAACTGAAGATTCAGTCCAACTTCCCCCACCTCCTCTGCCTCTGGGGCCGTCAGATCGACACCGATCCAAGATGGAGAAATCCCACAACTTCGGAGTTTTGCTGGTAAGACAATCACCAAAGTGTTCTCCATGTCACCCTGCACTCTCCAGAAAACTCCATGAACCAGAGCACAGCATTCCTAGAGGTTAACTGTCTTCCAGGCTGGTCCATGCATCGAGCGTCCTGATTCACCAAGCAGGCTTGTTAGGTGATAGTGACATCCTAGACACGGGGACTAGTTTTCACCTGATTTGCTGGAATCAGGGCTTCTGTGTTACTTGTACAAAGATAAACACAGAGTAGAGTTTGAACTCAGCAACCCACTGTGTTTCCTGGTCTACTGGGGATCTGTCATCTTCTTCGCCTAATTTGAGAGAAGGATCTATACCTGGGCCAGAGGCATCATGCCCTGCCTTCTCTGCTTTCATCCCTGCCTACCGGGCAGACAGTCCCTGAGCACCCACCTTGCTTCCCGTGCAGCCTAGGGGTCAGGGCAGGTGACAGAGGTCATAAAATGGATGAACAAAGTACCACTGGGACATGGGGATGCAGCCATGGACTCCGGCAAGTCGCTGGGAAGCATCAAGGAAGGCTTCCCAAAGGAGGTATGAGTTGGGCATTGAGGAGCCAGCAGGTCTTGGGAGAAGAGGCAATGTGCCTGCCGGATGGCGAGAGCAGCATCGTGGCACCGTGTGTCTGTCTGTGGTCAGGGCAGGTGGAAGATGAGGCTAGACAGGGCCAGGTGGGGAGGGCTCTGAAGGGCAAGTTGAAGCAAGCCTCGGAATGGAACAGAGAAAACACGCTGATGCCCACGAGAGACAGGGTCAGTGGGTCAAGAATGCCCGCACCACCAAAGCTTCCACTTGGGGCCCCAAGAACAGCTGCTGCAACTGAATGCTTTGCCCCAGGGCAAGGGCCCTGCGGGCTGAAGCCCTGCTTTGAGCTTCCTTGAGACTGTGGGCAGGATGCGGGCTCCCCAGAGCTCTAGGTTAAGGCAACAAACACCAAATCTGAGCGCTTCCTAAGGCAAGGAACACTTGGTGTTTTTTCTTTAAATAAAAATTTTAAAACAAACAAACAAAAAAGAAATGAATAAAACACTGGTTTGTTTCAAAGTAATACTTACCTTTTCACTCATGGATTCTTCAAATTTATGGTTAAAGAGGCACTTATACACTCTGCCTTCACCAGCTTGTGTCTGTAAGATGCAACATATACATTAGTATTATTACTATTAGCTAAGTAGTTATGCTACACATTATCCATAATCTCATATAGAACTATTAAATTATTATAATGGTGAGCACTTTTGGATAAATGGCTCAGCCATTTATAAAATTTAATAGTCTTTTAAAAAAACAGTGACTGCAGTAAAGATGAAAAAATTTTTCCATGATGTTTGGCAATTGTCATTTGTTCCCAGATATATCTTGTTAATTAGGGAACAAAGAGAAATGCTAAACTGAGTCTTCGTTCTTAAAACTTTATGCTAGAATCAATAAAACTCTTATAGCTAGTAGCTCTCATAGTTGAAGCTATTAATTCAAAACAGGAGGCAGAACTGAAGTATATACAACTTCCTCTCAGTCCCTT